TCACCCGGATGCACTGGTCCCGATATTTTTGAGTGACGTGGCGTGTTTTAATTTGTGTTTGGACGAATCCGGACACCGGACACAATAATTTGCTCAAAAGACCCTTAGGTTTGAAAAAGTTGAGAGTCACATCCAAAATTTTATTTAAGAGTTGTAAGGTTTTAAAGGGTATTTATTGTTTATGACCAAAAGATACAAAAAGCTTTGAGAATAACAAAAAGAAAAAGAAAGGAAATCAATTCATCCTATAAATATTCAAGAATTTGATAGTCAATGAAAATCATCAAGTGTGGATGAAGAGGCACTAATGAACAAAACATTCAACTTCTTTCTTAAAAATAAAAAAAGAAATTAAAAAAGTACATAAGAGGATGTGAAAAATTAGTGAATTTTCATATTTTAAAACTAATTTTGGCATATTCCTTTCACCATATCCCTTAAAATCCATCATTTTTCTACCAAAAGCTTCATATCACTTTTTTAAACAATAAACTAAATATTCATAAAAAATTATTAATTAATCCAAGCGAAACCTAGAATAAGAAATTTTGATCTGAATTTTCTTTTTCAAACAATAAGAGCTTTCTTGTAATTGACTAATTGAATTTGACCCATTCAAACTCTTCCAATTTGAATTTTAGTCAAATTTAATAGCTAGATAGCTATTTAAAAGCAATTATTAAAGGATTTTGATCCAATTTCTTGGAGTTTATGAGGGATTAGGCCTATAAAAACTACCCTAATACCAAAAAAATCCACTAACAATTCCTTCATTCCAAACTCCTTGATTCCTTGTATTTTTAAGAGTACTTTCGAGAGTTTTTTCCTACGACAAGCAAATAAGCACAAAAAATTTGATCCTCATCAATTCCATGATGTAGGTTGATACTCAAGATAGTGGAAGATGAATTAAGAAACTTATAATATTTGTTAAAGGTCAGCAAATAAGCCTCAACATCTTCAAGTTGCACCGTTGTGGGATCGAAGTCGCGCCGTCGCCCTAGCTAGCTCCGCCTCTCGGGAGAGGGGGCCTGCGCGATCCAGAGAGGGAGTCCGACAGCCCTTGCTGACGCGGTCTCAAGCTCCGCCTCGCGGGAGTGGGAGGGCCTGAGCGATCTAGAGAGGGAGACTGGCCGTGACGCCGGTCTCAGGCTGGCGTGGTTCGCGTGTTGTCGTACTCAGCTTTTCTCCAGCAATAAGGTGCTGTCAAATTCCTGGCGTTCTCTGTGCTGGGCTAGGGCTTTGCCCTAACCGCTCTCTTTCGGTGGTGCATGGCTTCTTCCTCCGCATGCCGAGAGAATTCTTTTTATCCCTTTTGTTTTCTTTGTTATTTTGTCGGTATGGCGGTTTGTCGTTCTTCCGATCCTGGTTTTCTAGATGGATTGGCTAGGTCCTGTTCATTTTTGGAAGCTTTAGAGGGTTCATCTCCTGGTAGATTTCCTGATCTTATACGCTCTTCTTTCCGTGGCGTTCCTACTCTTTTGGTTTCAGAAGAAGAATTTTTTGCTCTTGCTGAACCATTTAAGTTTTCGCTTGTTGGCTTCTTCCCTTCGCGGCAACCTCCGCTTGCGTTGATTCAAATTTTTTTTTTTAAATCTTCATAGAAATGGAGCTTTCTCTATGACCGTGTTGGATTCATCTCATGTTCTCATTAAGCTGGAGAATGATCTTGACTATAGTAGGGTGTTTTGTCATAGGTCTTATCTAGTTTTCAATTGCTTCATTAAGTTGTCTAAATGGTCTCGTTCTGGTGACATTGGGGATGACTCTCCCATTGTCCTGATCTAGATCTCATTCACTAATATGTGTCCCCATTTTTTCTCTCCTCGTATATTGCATGGATTGGGGCTTCTCTTTGGTAACCCGCTGAAGGTGGATAATGCCACTGCGTTGGGGTCTCGCATGTCTGTCGCCCGTGTGCTGGTGGAAATTGATATTACGAAGAAATTTTTGGACAAGATTTGGATAGGACCTGAGAAACTATGGCATTTCCAGGAAGTTACTGTAGAGAGGGAAAGAGACGGAACAGGGAAGAAGAAGGATTTCTTCTTCTCCTCTGGAAACGGAGCAGGAGGCAGAGAAAGGAAAAGTAACAGTAAAGAAAGTATTTTCTATTATTCTTTTAATTACAGACCATTGGGTAATATATAGACAAATGAATACAAGAATTGTACGACCTACTCTAACGGTACATTAGAGACCCAACCATGGGATGACACGTGGACAGGTTGCTAACAGTTACTATGGTGGATTTTCCTCTCTTTTGTCCCAAATGTAAGCGTCTTGATCATTCTTTTGGTGATTGTCAGCCTACTCTTGATGCTAGGTTGTCTGCTGCTCCTTTGTCTAAAACGAATTTTTGGGTTTTTGATGATAATGACATTCATGTTGGCGATGGGGATGTTGGGGATTTAGGGGATACGACTCTTATCCTTCCTACTCCTACTCTTGTTGATATGTCTCCTATTATTTTACCAGACAGTTTTGTGCCTGTGTCTCCTGTTGATTTGCTCGTTATTGGTGATGTATGAGTTGAATTAATTTCGTCTTGCCAATTTCAATCTCTGGTTGTCCCTATTTCTGTTGCTGGGATTTGTTTGAGTGGCTCTCTTATTCTTTTGGTGGAGACTGTTGCTATGCTGGATTCCCCTATCCATGCTATTAATGGTTCTACTGTGGGTGTGCGATGCTAGGCAAGTGTCTTACCCTGCTCTCTCCCCTACTGCCCATGCGCCTGCTGATGCTATTCGTTCGATGAATGGGGTTGTTTCCCCTAATGTGGCTCCTGTCCTTGTGGCTGTATCTGATAGTAATTGTTGTATTAATCTTAGTGATAGTCCGATTGTTGGTGATGGTGAGGAATTGTCTGTTGATTGTAGTGAGGAAACTTTGGCTGTTGTTGGGGATGAAGGTAGTGTGTTGCCTCTAGTGGATGTGCTTATTTCTATCATTTATAATGCTAATATGTTATCCCATGTTGCTAGAGATGTTAAGTGGCAATGTGATTAGCTACATGATGACATGGCTATTGATAGTGGGGAGGACTTTGTTGATAACACCTTGAATACAGGCTCGCTCGATAATTTTGTTAGGCAACACAAATAGAATTCCAAGAAGAAATGATTTCTTCTTTTGGATGATTTGGGTTGTGCTATTTTATTCTTCCGATTTTGTCTTTCCGACTCTCAATTTGCCTTGCTACTACATTTCTTTATTTAGCATTTTGTAATTCTATTGATGTGGCCATTCTTATGGTCTTGTGTTGTATCTTTCTATCTTAATGAAATTTTTTGTTCTAGTTAAAAAAAATGATATTTGTCAAAGGTTTTTCATTACTAACTCCAAATTGTACTTTTAAGAACACTTTTCCTATTTCATCTATGATTTATTTGCTAGCATGTCCCTTCAATTTCTCATATCACTTGCTTATCTATTTCTTTCTAAATTTTTGCATTTATTCTTTAATTTGTGAATATATGCTTCAACATCAACAACACCATCCTTCTTTTTCCTATAAATGCAATACCCAAAGTAGGAATAATTAATGAAGACAGATATTATTTCTTGCATATCTCTGATAGAGGGTTTAGTCTACACGTTATTTTATCCAATCCATCTTTTGATTGGACAATTGTGAATGAATTTTTACAAAATTTGTTCTTACTGAATCACTCATCTTTAGTTAATTGCCTTTGTGAAGAATGTGCATGTTATTCATCATGTCCTTTCACATAATGTTATTACTAAAGTAAAGCATTGGAAAATATGATCATTAACATAACACCTTAATCACATTGATTTTGATATTGCAAATTTGATCATCCACTCTATTGAAAACGTCATATAAATTCAGAATCCTAAACTTGAATTGCATGCAATAAGATTGTAAACTTTATAAGTTTATTTTCATTAGAAAGATATTATGTAGGATTTAGACATTGCAATATCTTATAATCTTATTTTCCTTTGCTCTCAAACACTAGGAAGACTTTGTGAAGAATGGTTAACCCATTATAACATATTTTGTGCATTCTTTTTTTTTTTTTTTATTGTGTTCAAGTTATGAGGGCCTCTCTACTTAAATGAGGTGTGAATGAGTTCTTGGACTTTTGTTATAACTTGCACTTTACATTGTAAGCCACTCTTTTCCAATTAAATTTTGATAATCTCTTTGATATTGACCAACACTCATAAATTTATTCTTCACAAACACCAAACATAAGTGAGTTAACAAATAAATTATATTAATATGAATACTAATCTAAAAATATATAATAAATTCATTTGTAATCTAAAATAGCTCATAAAATGTATGAAATCGTATCTATAAAATTTAAGAAGTGTGAAGAAACCAAAGGATCAAGAAAGTAAAGTAACAAACATAGAGAGTAAAGAGAATTGTATTAATTTCTATATCTTGTACCGCAGCTGTAGGTTGCTTTATATAGGCTAGGTATGTACGGACATGCTAAAGAAAAGACATTTGCTTATTTACATATTGTACCCGGTGTAATACACAAATCTTAACTAAATTAATATTTATGTAATTCTGGTTCTAATACTCCCCCGCAAATTGATGGGTCCTGTATGACTGTCAGTTTGTGACGATGTTTGTGAAACCGCGGAGTTGAGAGAGCTTTGGTGAATATGTCCGCAACTTGGTTTGTGGTACTGATCGGTAGAATGGATATGTGGTTATTTTGTATGTGGTATCAATTTCAATGTGTTTTGTACGAGCATGAAAGACCGGATTATTTGCCAAAGCAATGACATTTGCTTATTTACATATTGTACCCGGTGTAATAAACAGATCTTAACTAAATTAATATTTCTGTAATTATGGTTCTAATAAAGTGCAATAAAAAAATAACTAAGCATGCCATCAATTATAATTCACTTTTGCATTAATATATATGTATAAAATTCAAAAAAATTATAATGATTTGTGTAGGAATACAAATATAATAGTCATCCATAAGTGACCCAAACTCCACGTTGGCGAGCTGGAAACTGGAAAGTGGGTAGCGAAACGGTGGACTGCCGGCCTTGGCCCATTTCGGCGCCCACCACTTCGCGGGAAAGCTAGGAACCAACCCTGAGGGAGGTACCGACGACCTTGTATCTATATATACAACCAACTCCCTCTCTCTCTCTCTCTCTTGATTAAGAATCTAAGGCGACTGCGATGGCTCTCCGATCCACCCGCTTGTTGCGGTCACTTGGCAGATTGGGATTCCGGCAGCTTTCAGGAGTGTCCGGAGTTGCTGCTGGCGAGGGAGATCCGGCTCAATCAGGCGTTGGCCTTGCCACGTTGGCGAAGGCGGCCGTCGGTATCTTCGCCGTGGGAGGATCGGGCTTGGGACTTTGGCTTCTCCCTGATTTGGCGGATAACCCGTTTGCTAATTCTTCAGATCCAATGTTAACTGGATGTAGTGAAGCAGCGGCCGCAGAGAAAAAGCCTAGATTTCTACTTGGAGGTGTGTATTCCGTATTTCTTTTTTCTTGAATTCTTGATATAGGTTAGATCGTTGATTCTGTGATGAATCGGCAGTCCTCCACTATTAGAATATATGCGTCATTCTCTTCATTCGATTGAAATTATAACGCAGTGGTAAACTAATTCCTTCTTTGGATATGCCGGTGATTCTATAGTCCTCTTGAATTAGTAGTAGTATTTTACTTTGGCGTTTATTTGTAGCCTTATTAGTCTCTGTTTGCATAATGAACTTGATTGGAAGGAAATAAAAGGAGGCTGAAGGCCTCAACAACATGTATGCACTCTTGAAGCTACACGTTGCACAAAAAATCACAATGTTTTTGTTGTTGCAGTTAAGCTCTATAAGGAAAGACCAACGGAATGCAGGGTTCTGCAAATACAATTTCATTTTTTGTGTTAGGTCATACTTCAATGTTGTTTTTGGCTGAACAATATGTATCTCTCTTGGAATTTGTTAGTTAATTGAAAAGGATCAGTTTTTTTAGAATTATAATTTCTTAATACATACTAAAGAAGTTGGATTGCACATTGTGAAAATTTTACAAGAAAATAGAGAATTATGTTATTTGAATTAAATGTTTTAAGGCATTGCATGCTGTATGGGACTGTTGCATGACATTAAATTGAACCTCATATTGGAATTTGCATAAGCTGAAAAACATCAGCTTTGTGGCCAATGATCTCGGAGTTGAACAGCATTCTATTGCATTGCACACTGTGATATTATCTGCAAGAACTATTTCCAAATATTGCTTAGGAGAATAAAATTGCTGGTTTTGGTGGAATCACGAGTTAATGAAAAATAGAATATGTTTTGCCAACTTTTTTGTTCGTAAGCATTTGTGAAATTTTATTTATTATAAGAATCATGGGAAGGGTAAATTAGAAATAGGTATAAAATAATGGCAAGCATCATTATAGAGTTGTAGCTGATAGAGATAGATTAGATAGTTAATCTGGAGCTCTCTCCTTTCTTTTTTGTACTTCTGAAGTAAATGCTTTGGTCCCCAGGAACTGTAGTCAAAATTTATCTCTCTTTTGTTTTCAGGTTCATTTCGAAGAAGGGTGTTCTTTAAATATGAAAAACGGTTGAGGCTACAAAGTCCACCTGAGAAGGTATTTAACACTTGCTATTTGGAGGACTTTGGTCTTTCTTAAAAACTATTGCGACCAAACTTTGAGGAAATCTGTTGAATGGATGGTTTACCTATGAACATCAATTATCTAATACTTTGAATGAACCTGGATATCGCATGCAAAATCTGTAACCTTGACTGTTAAAGTTCATCTCTGTGTCACTCTCTCCTCTCTATATGTCTGATTATCTACATATATATATATATACCCCAACCCTCCCCACTGGTTATCTACATATATATATATACCCCAACCTTGCCCCCCCCCACCCCCCCCCTTTCTCCTCTCTCTATCAATCTATCTATCAAACACTTCCATTTTATTGTTCATGTCTATTTTGATTAATAGAGCATTCTTTTCTTTTTTCGTATGAGAGTATATTTCTTGAATGTCAGTGATTTCCATTAATAAAGTGAATGGGAAATCCTTTTTAAAGGATAATACATGTTGGTTAATGTATTCATGTGTTATATAAGGAAATACTGCAAAAAATAAGTAACAAAATATTGTTTAAATGTGAATCTAAGAATCACGTGCTTCCCTATTTTTTAAAGAAATGAACACATCAGTGTTGATTAACAAAATTCTAAGTCAAATCTTTATAGAGAACTTTGACAATCTAAAGATATTATACTAAATCAAATACCATATTCTCATTGTGTTATATAATGTTTCTTATATTTCACTAATTGAAAAGAAAGGTGCATGATTTCCTTTCTTAAGTGGTCGGCTGGTAAGGTTGCTTCTGACTTTCAGTTATTCAATAGGAACATATCCCAACAGGAAATAGGATATAAAAAAAAAACTGATAGTAATGTTGAATGCTGCAGAGAATCCTGCACTTCAACAGTTTGATTTCCACATGAAATTTTTTGTCAAGAATAAATTATGCCACTATTCCTTCCAATTTTCATTTATTGCTGTTGCTTTTTGCTTTTTTGTTACGGTGTGGTGTTTTTTTAGCTTGTTTCTTTTTCTTGCTGCAGGAAACTTAGCATATTGTTACTTTAAGAAAGTATTTATTTTGTTTGTATGATTAAATTTATTTGTGCTTGGAAGAGCAATTAAACTTATTATTGTCTCCAGATTTTTGAGTACTTTGCATCCATCCGGAGCCCAGAAGGTGAGGTATTCATGTCTCCAGCAGATTTGATGAGAGCGGTGGTTCCAGTCTTTCCCTCATCTGAGTCTAGTATTGTTAAAGAAGGATGTCTTAGAGGGGAGCGGGAACCTGGTGCATTACATTTTGCTTCATCCCCACTTTTTCTGCTCTTTGACACTAACAATGATGGATTAATTTCCTTTCCAGAGTAAGATAAAGTTATCATCTTGTTAAGCTGATTCTGATATTACACACTCCATTTCATTTCTCTATAAAATCCTGAGCTTCATAGAAATGACAACTTTGCCTCATTATTGTGATCTTTGTTTATTCATGATAGGTACATCTTTTTTGTTACATTGCTCAGCATCCCAGATTCAAGCTTCAGTGTGGCTTTCAAAATGTTTGATCTTGACAATAATGGGTAGGTTTTTTTACATTCTAATCTCAAATCCAATGGTAAATGTTACTTTTTTTTTCTGGCTGAAACTTTTGGTGGCCTTAACTTTTACGAGTTCAAGTCTCTTATTTCTGAGAACCTGCATATTCTTACCTGATTGTGTTATGAAAATTGATACCTTCTTGGGTACCATTGATTTGATTTCCTATCCCCATTTGCAAGTTTATTAGTAATTTTGGAGAGAACATTCTAAATGGGATCTTTTTGTAATCACCAATTTGCTAGTTTTTTACTAGGTAGGTCTAGAGTCATGGTTGGGTTGAGTTCATTGTACAATTGGAGGCCACGGGTTGGATTCATGCAAACAACTTTGTAGTTTAGTTGTAAGGCTGCATATATCTACCCTTTAAAGGCCACACTTTGATTGGGAATCGCATTGCATGAGCTTATTTTATTGAACCCTACTTCTATGTTGTTTGATATTGTATCATAAGGGGGAATTGGTAGATGATTTTTGTTTTCCTTCTTATATTGTTCGATTGATGATTACCCATCTAGTTTAGTCAAATTCTTCTAACAGGATGAGAAATCTGAAAGTTGAAAGTAATGATTCTCTTAAGAGTCTCAACTTGTTCATTCCATTGTTTCTGTTGGGAAGGCTAACCAAGATAGGATACAAAATGATTAATATTTGAAATATGATGATGGCGCAGTGTTTGTTTGAGTTTTGATTGGCCATAAGGCCCATAACTCTTCAACTTATGAACTTCACATGAAAGGACTCGATCTTCACCTGATTGTAAAGTATCTTGTAATATAATTTTCTTACCCTACAGGAGAAGGAAATGGGTTGTTTCATGTGTAATCATGAAACATGTGAAGGAAAGAAGGGTTTCATATATTACTTGTAAAGTATTTTATGCTAAGCTTTAAAACAGTGAGTTCAGTAAAGAAAAATGTTTTATGCAGTTTATTAGAAGCAGCCATACAGCATTTCTCGACTTTTTCCTTTCTGCAGTATTAACTACTTATATTCACTCTTTCCTCATGCTTAAAAGTACCTATTTCAATTTGGTGTTGGTTTCGTTACAATTTGTCTGAATTCATGTGCTTCCATTACTTGCATCTGTCTTTATAATTTACGCTTGCAATTTTTATATGCTTGTTAGGCTTCATTAGGCTTCGTTTGGGACGGCTTTCTTGCTGCTTCTTAAAGCAGCTTTCTAGTTCAATAATTAAATTTTTGTACTAGTAAGTTGTTTTAAGAAGCAACAAAAAAGCCGTCCCAAACAAAGCCTTAGTAAATTGTAAACTTTCCCTTTTTACTTGGTGTGTGTGCCGTTTTGTTATTTACTGGGAAAATTCACATGCAGTTAAAACGTTCTTGTGCAAGTGCAGATTAATACCCTCACTTAGTGAGTAATCTTGTTCATAATTTTTTATTACCAAATACAAAATTTCTCTATAAAGTTTTATCCTTGCATCATGATTATCAATTGGTTGATCCTTTTGCAGAGCTATTGAAAGGGATGAGTTTAAAAAAGTGATGGCATTGATGCGTTCCTTTAATAGACAGGGGGCATGCCATAGAAATGGACTGCGTATTGGTCTTAAAATTCGAGGCTCTGTGGAAAATGCAGGCTTAGTCGAGTATTTCTTTGGTAAGGACGGAAATGAGCGTCTCCAACATGACAAGTTCGTTCAATTCTTGAGGGATTTACACGATGAGGTATAAATAACTCCTATTTCTTTTGGCGTTCAAACTTAGGTTTGAGTACTTCATCAATCTTGTCTTTTATTTTAATGTCGGTGTCGTCTCAAAGTATCATTTGGACGAGTTACATATTTTGTTCTTGGTTGCTGCTCGTTGCCAAAAGCCCGTACAAGAATGCTAAGAACCTAAATAGATTTTATTTGTGTTTAGCCGGTTCATAGCGGGACTTAGGTCTCATTTGGGGCGGCTTTTTTACCGTTTCTTAAAACAATTTTTTACTACAACAACAACAACAACATCAAACCTTTGTCCCACTACACGGGTTCGGCTACATGAATCCTTTTTCTCCATTGTGTCATGTTAAAAGTCAAATTTTCTTTTAAATCTAATAAAGAAATATCATGTCTAAAATTCTAAAATTTTATTACCAAGTCTTTTTAAGTTTACCTCTACCTTTCTTAACATAAGACAAATCTAAAACCTCAACTTTCCTAATCGGGTCATCAGAAGGCCTCCGTTTAATGTGACCAAACCATCTAAGGCAACTCTCTCTAATTTTATCTTTTACAGGAGCTACTCCAACCTTTTCATGTATATGCTCATTCGTATTCTATCTCTAAGGGTAAAGCCACTCATCAACCTAAGCATCCTCATCTCTACAACACTTAAATTTTTATACTAAAAGGTTGTTTTAAGAAGCGGCAAAAAAGCCGCCCCAAACGAAGCCTTAATGCCAATACTCCTAGATTAACTGATGCTGTATACATTTAACCATGTAATAGTCTTCTAAATATTAGTTAGTTTTAAATGTGATATAATATTTATTGCTTTACTTCCAAAATTTTTCAGATCTTGCGCTTGGAGTTTGACCATTATGATGTCAAATTAGAGGGAACGATTTCTGCAAAGGATTTTGCTTTGTCAATGGTTGCTTCTGCAGACATTAATCATATAAACAAGTTTCTTGATAGAGTTGATGTGTTGGATAACAACTTACATCTAAAGGATATGCGTATTACCTTTGAGGTCCGAGATGATTAATATCTATTCACATAATATACTTCATAACTATTCCTTCATCAAACCGTCTTCTTGTCTAAACTTCCAGGAATTCAAGGCCTTTGCTGATTTACGGAAGAGACTAGACCTGTTGTCATTCGCTATCTTCAGTTATGGAAAAGTTAATGGCTTCTTGGCAAAGGAAGATTTTGTCAGAGCCGCTTCTCATGTATGATTTCATTTATTGATACTTTCTCAAGGGAAAAATCAAATTACTATATTTTTCATAATTGTGATTATTTGATTTTAACATTGTAGGTTTGTGGGGTTTCTTTGAGCGACAATGTGGTTGATGTTGTTTTTCATGTATTTGATTCGAACAACGATGGACATCTAAGCTCAGAGGAGTTCATGAGAGTAATGCAGAAAAGAGAAATTGATATCCGGCAACCTACCTCAACCAGTCTTTTCAGGCATTCTTTCATGTTGCCTTGATCAGATTAAGGCTATGTTTGGGACGACTTTTTTACTGCTTTCTAAAGCGGCTTTTTAGTATAAAATTTTTAATTTTTGTACTAAAAAACAACTTTATGAAGCAGGAAGAAAACCGTCCCAAACGAGCTTAAACCTTCCATGATGTTAAATGGACTAAAGGTGATGACAGTCTACTTGTCAACTCCATATCTTGACAGCATAATGGTAGAAGGAAATAGACCGTTGAGTTTAACAACACATCGAGGTACAGAAGCCAAAGCACATTCATCTTTCTTTACCAGATATGCTATTTGTAGGCAAGAATACACGGCTCTGATGTCAAGTGAGAGGTGAATCAATGGCACCAATTGCTGTTGTTATGCTTCTCCTGTCATCCATGTATATAAAATGTTTTTTTTTTTAATTTCTTTGTGCTACTGGAAAAATTATTCTGTGCGGATTCCAGACGGCGTCCAGAGACTAATCAGAATGCGCCATGTCACTTTTTTGCTCGGTAATGTTCAGTACTTGGTGACATGGTGCTTCTCGTTGGTCTTTGAACCGTCTGGTGTCCGCATAGAATAATTTCTAGTGTTGATGGTATGTTTCTCCTCTCATCTATGTGTATAAAATATTTTCCTAGTTATGTTAGGTTGTATAGAAATCAGGCTTTGTATCTTATATGACTGTTAGGTTTTTGTAGCCGTCCCTGCTCTTGACCTCATATTTTGAAGAAAAGTGTGGTTTCTTGCACTGCTGCTTTGATTTTGATGTAGATATTCGTTTATAAAGTGAAGAGGAACTAAAATTATTGAAAATTTACCCATGAAATCCTGAACCACACTTATTAAATGCGAATAATACCCTTCAAATTTGATACGTATTGTGGATGATTTTGGGTTCATCTTTGGATTAATTATTCTATGCGGACACCGAGCGCTATATGGAGATCAATCAGAATGTGTCATGTCACTGCTTCGCTCGGTACCACGGCTCGGTACCACTGACATGGCGCATTCTGGTTGGTCTTCGGACGGGGTTCTGCGTCCAGTCTTCGCACAGAATAATCTCTCTTCGTTGAGACGCCAAGTTTTTGTGATTCTTTTTTATCTGTCAACTATTTTGGCATTTTAAGCATTTTGTTAACTGATTATTTGGTTCGAGTTCTTAAAAAATATATTTAAAAAATGAGGTTTTTCCATTTATTTTTAATTTTAAATTGACATGCTTATTTTTAAAAATTGTTTTGAAGTTGTTTTTAAAATAGTTTTGTGTGGAATCTGATTGTGTCGATTAAAATTAATCGAATTGTATTGTTGATTCAGATTTCAACATAGCACTAATGTTATATCGACTAAAATAAAACATGATGATCACTAATGCAATCTATTTTAAATCCACCAACAAGCCAACAAATATAAAGCTCAACACTTTGTAAAGTTAGTATGCATCTAATAAAGCTTAAATGTTATTCCTTATAAAGAAATTTATTAAGGGCCTCTAGCTGAGTTCAATCCCTACATAGTCGTGCCATAGTTTGATAATATATTTCACCTAGGGGTTGATCAATTTATGTAATTAATCCTTATATGGATCACTTTGCCAGCTTGCCAACTCAAATATGGACATTCATGAAAGCAAATCTCAAGAGCGTATAACACTACACAATACCCTTCCTCTTGAAAGTAAATTGATTACAACTATCCTCTAAGGGTCCCTACTATTGATGTGGTTTACTTTCGAAGATAAATTGGTAAGTAAGAGAGAACAAACATCATGCCACGTCTTAGGATGTATATTGGAAGAATTGTATTTATCTTTCATTTTAATTATTTAACTAGAGCTTATCGAGTTCTTATTAATACCAGCAAGAATTATGCATGCTATGCAAAGCTCATATCATAAGATTCTAATATTTTTGTTGAAAATATTTAAAATCACGCACTGAGTACATAACTCAATAAGTAATTAAAATCATATAATTAAAATCAATGTAAGGTAAAAGAGAACATTATGTTATAATATATATATATATTATCAAAAAAGCATCTTGATCGGGCATGAATCTCGAGGCAAAATCAAGTCAGAAACTTTAAAAATTAAATTCGGGATCACCTGAACTCCGATTTTAGTTAACTTACAGTCAAACTGAGCATCTCGGAAATACAAACCCAACGACAACAAATTCGACACAATCCGAGCCCAAATAAGTCCAAATCAAACACCTGAAGCATTGTTGGAAAGTTCAAACCACAATTTGAGTTACCAAACAAATTCGAAACATGACGTGCTTACAGTCAAATCGAGCAGCTCGACGAGACAAATCCAACGAGTCCAAGATCATCGAATTTTGACATCATTAAGACCTTCAAATGTCTAACGAATAGTAGATGATCAAGGGATTCAATATCGGCCGTTCATTCAACCACTCCCCATTTACCCCTGATCTCTCATCTATTTATGGGTCATGCTACTTCAAAATATCTTTATGAGTTACCAAACAGTTTTGAAACATGACGTGCTTATAGTCGAATCGAGCAGCTCGACGAGACGAATCTAACGAGCCCAAGATCGCCGAATTTCGACATCATTAAGACCTTCAAATGTCTGACAAAAGTTACACGATCAAGGAATTCAATATCGGCCATCCATCCAAGCACTCCTCATTTACCCATGATCACCTATTTACGGGCCATGTCACTCCATAATATTTATAAATAGACCTCTCATTTCTCTTGAGAGGGGACCCAAACAAGAAGAAGAAGAAGAGAAGGATATGAGGGAAGAAACTCCTCCTCGACCATCGCCGGAATTCTGCTCGGTGCCCGAGTGACGCCGGAATTCCGCCTAACGCCCCAGTGACACCGAAATTCTACTAGATGCCAGAATTCTACTGAAGCGACTCCAGAATTCTACCCAAGCGGCGCCGGAATTCTGTCTAACATTCAAGTGACGCCAAAACTCTGCCTGATTTTCAAGTGACGCCGGAATTCTAAATGAATCTGAATACAACAACCTGTGTGTATCTGGACTTCAATCCAGAAGTAAATCATTGTAACCTGATCATCCAAAATTCTAAGGACGAGTCAGTCTCTTGTATCTCAAGCAAATATTAGTGTAACTTTTTCAATTAGGCATGACTCGTGGTTTTTTTTCCCTTTCAAGATTTTTCACATAAAAATTCGAGTGTCTTTATTTCTTTCCTATTTGTGTGCTAGATATTCATACGGGTGTCAATTTCGGGTCACGGGTCGAACCCGAAACTGACCCGGCACTATTCGGGTCAACCCGAACCCGACCCGATTTTTAAAAACGGGTCAGTTTTCCTGACCTAAACCCGACCCGCTTCGGGTCCGGGTCAACCCGACATGACCCGAATGACCCGTTTCCAACAAGAAAATGGCTAATTTTTTGGTCAAAAACGGGTCAATCGCCTCTTTTCGGGTAAAAAACGGGTCAATCTCGTGTTGCCGGGTCAAAATCGGGTCAATTTCGGGTCAAAGGGTTAACCTGAACCTGACCCGATTTTTGAAACGGGTCGAAATGCTGAACCCGAACCCGACCCGTTTCGGGTTCGGGTTGACCCTAACCCGAAATTTTCGGGTCGGGTTCGAGTCGGGTTTTCGGGTCGTGTCAAATATTGACACCCCTAGGCACCACAAGACTCTACTTCAAAACTTTTATTTTTTTTCAAATATTTTATTTCACACATTTGGATTATTACACATCAAATATTCATAAGTGCTAGGAGCCTTAAAAAAAGCACAAACTTTGAAGATTACTTAAAAAGCTAAGGAATGAAAAGGTAGATAAGAGAAACCAAGTGTGAGTACATAGAGAGAAAAAAATAAGTTTTCAGATTGATTTTGTAAAACAATCTATATTAAATATGATTATGCTTAAAAGATTAACTATACTCTTATAGGATACATGTGGTGGTGGGATAAAGTAGAGCCAATATGCCCTAGAGAGAATGAGATGCGAAATATAATAATGAAGAGATATAAGTGAAATGATTGCTCTTATGATTGAGCTATATTAGGTTCTTTAAAAAAGAGCGGAGATAGAGGGAAGCAATGATATGTTCCATGGTTGCATGAAATAGTAAACTCACTATTGTGAAGGCAAAGAGCTCACACTCTTTTTCCAAGTGAGAGGAATAAAAGAGATTTTAATTGTTTTGGGGTTCAACTAACTATCCAATAACACCCTCCCACCAACTAACCAACTCTGGATATTTATAGAGATTGAGTAGCATAATGATAGCTTGGAGTTGTGTGTGTGTGTGTTTTTTTTTTTTTGATTATTCATGCATAATAGTCATGCGTGACATCATGGTGGTACTCAATGTAGTAATTAATCTTAATTATGTAACAAAAACTTGGGTACTAGAAGTTCAATTATTATATGGCAATTGTGAGGTTCACAGAGTATGCCAATATTGAATGTGATGCAGTACTACAATGATTAGCAATACATGATTATGGTGATAATACTTTAGTGTCAAGGACTTCTAAGTGGAAGTGATGTGGTATATGGGCTAGGAGATTTTTTAAGGAGAGTGTTCTTTATTCACATGTATACATAATATGTGTGGGTGCATATAATCGTTGCAAAAATATGAACAATAACATATAGATGTTAATTAACTTAATTAATTATCATAAGATAATCACCAATGTTATAATTATATGAAGTGAGCTAATATTGTGAGATGTGCTAGAGAGAAATGGAGAAATCTTCAAGTGTTTATCATTATCTCAAAACTCTTTTTAGTTCCTTAAAAATAAACTTTGTTATTATTTATTCTCATTATGATTTTAATTACATTTTACATTATATCTTCCAATTATAGTGCTTTTTAATCATATACAACATAATTATATGTAATAGCTACTTAGTCACCTACAAAATTAACAACTTATTTTTTTTGTTTAAATGAGTACATCTATTACTTATAGGATTGTATTTGTAGTGGTAGGTTCCTAAACTTGAAGTAAGAATATTGTGACCTAGTGGAAAAGAAAAATATAAATTATTTCTCATTTTAAAGTAGAAGTGCAATGTGCTTTATTTCTTAGCAAGAATAAAGTTGGTGTAATAAGGTTTCTTAGCTAACTAGTTGATTTAAGAAGAATAGTTTATGGTGGCAAACTTTAGTGATAATTCTTATGCTGAGTTAGGCTAGACGTGAATGCCACTCAAAGAGTGGGTAAAGTGGTAAACTAAATAAATATTGACCTTATCAAATTGTTGTATGATTTAGTTTACTTATACATTTACTTATCATCTATATGCCTCATATTTATATGATGATCTACCTAAAAAATGATTCAATTGAGAAATATAACAACATCAAGCATTTATCCTACTACATGGGATCAGCTACATAATCCTTTTTCTCCATTGTGTCAAGTCGAATTTTCATTTAATCTAATAAAAAAATGTCTTTTCTAATATGTTCTAACCAAGTCCTTTTAGGTCTATATCCACCTTTCTTAAGATAGACTACATCTAATACATCTACTCTCCTAACAATGTCATAGGAATGCTGACATTTTATGTGACCAAACCCTCTAAGGCGACTCTCTAGTTTTGTCTATAATTGGAGCTACTCCAACCTTTTCACTGTTTCACATATATATAGTTGTTTCATATTGTGTCTCTAAGAGCAAAGCTACTCATCCACTTGAACATTCTTATCTCAGCAACAATTAATTTTATGTTTCTCTTTTAATGAACAACATTTTGCGCTATAAAGCATTGGAAGTCTAACAACAATCTTATAAAATTTTCCCTTAAGTTTGAGGGGTAATTTTCTATTACATAGTAGACCTAAGTCAAGAAACTTTTTGAAAGAAATTCCTTACATGTCAATTGACACCCAATTCAACTTCCCTCTTTATAGTTTACCTTATACTACAAACTAATATATATACACAAGTGCATATATAAAAAATATTAGCCTTAAAATTTGTACACATTTGTGTACATAAATGAAATTAATTTAATTTTTATAATAACACATATATGCATGTGTGTACAACATTAAAACTAATTTCAGTTCAACAAAGTAGACAAAATTATTTTCATGGTCCTATATTCTTAATGACTTGCAAAGAATAAAATCCTTAACAAAAATTAAGATTTTAATATTGAAGGACACTTTAATATCATTAGAAAATTCTCATTTAATCAAAATTTCAGTCTTTTATTTTATATGTTTGGACTAGCTCACGAGCAACTTGTTTATAATGAAAGAGAGAAAAAGATTATTATGTAAATAATTATTATAATAAAATAATAAAAATATGCTGAAAGAGAGAAAAAGATTATTATGTAAATAATTATTATAATAAAATGATAAAAATATGCGTAAAAAAATAATAAAGAATCACATAATATTATAAAGTGGGATGTAATTTCTAAATACTTTTAGCAACTTTCTCCTTAAAATAATAAATATTAATATATTTTATATTATATTTGAATAAAATTAATTCAAATCTAATTCACTAACTCATCAAACTAAACTCACGAAGTCATTTATATGGTGGTTATTCCGAGCCCACTGGTCGCTTGACTCACGCGCGCCCTAACTCCAACTTCGAAGGCAAGGCGCCTGCCGAACAAAAGGCGGTGAACTTACCACTACTAGGTAAATGGGTAAATGCCTTTCGCTTGAGTCGCAGCCCCAATTCTGCAGGAATAGGAGAGAAGAGGATCTCTGGACATGGCGTTGGCTTATCGTTTACTCTCGCGATCCAGACAGGTAAAGAGCGCTTCGGATGTTCACTGGATATCACTGTTTACGATTGGTAGCTCTTATTGTCCTAGGAACAGGGTTTTTGTTTCCATTTCGGATCCCAATTACCAAATCCTTTGGATTCTGTAAGTTCTTTTCACGATCGAACTTTTTTTAATTTTCAATCATACGTTGGATTGAAGACTTCTGCAAATGTGGGTTGGCAATACGTTATAGATTCTGCAGAGTTTGTATATGAAGGGTTTTGATTATGAGGTTATGTTCCCGCAGTAGACACGCCGAGCGTCTTTAGCTCGGGGCGTGGCGCATCGTTAAATCTGCCCCTGATGAGGTCTAACGTCAAAGAAGGAATCGAAGTTTATTCTTTGGATGTTTTTTAATCTTCCTTATGTCATTGATGATTAGAGTCTCGACATGTTCATTCAAGAAGAGTTTGATGTCATGTGCATTTCACTAAAAAACATATTTTTGGATTGAACTGGTCATTATTCTTATGCTCGGCTTAAGTGCAAGGCATTCTTGCTTGTACCTTGAAAGATGTTTTAAAGTTGGATGTCTGCATGATAACTACCTCCAAACTATGAGCTGGCCAGGTCGTTAATGTTAACTGTGAGCTTTGTATGTTAATCTCAAGATTAAGCTGAGCTATTGTAATCCTTTTTTTTGGTTAGTATTGGAATGTAAGCATTGCTTGAATTTAACAGGGTTTTCATCTCTTGTATGTTCTGCCGCTTTAGAGCACTATATTGAAGATAAACATGAAATATGTATTAACCTAATGAATTAAAGTGTGGTATAGGGTCTTATTAATGTTGTATGAGTTATAAAAATAACGCACTTCCCATTGTGATACTTATGATTACTACCCTTAATATGATTGGATGGAAGCCATATGCTTCATATCATGATCATTATAGATCATATCATGTTGATCATGCATACTCTTATTATTGATATCATGATAGGTCATATTAAAATAATCATACATGTCCTCATAATTGATAGCGCAATCATGATATATCATATCATGAAAATTATGCACACTTTTATTATTACAAAGATAATCTTCCTAGGCCAAATCACTTCTATCAATCTCTTCTTAGATATCAGCAATTGACTGACAAACATCTAAATTACATTGATAGACTCAATTATCTTACATATATTATTTATTGTTACCTTTTAAAGTAATCTTCTCCACCATTCACGCGTACTCGCCCTATTGAGGATGCTGAGTTGTCACTTATGCTGAGTCTATGTGTGCTACTATACTTGCAATTGATCTTAATTTTGTGTTTAAGGTTGACCTAGAAGTTCCATAATGCATTTTCTTGACCCACTTGTGTTTCCAGTTGAATTGATTAATGATTATTATGATGATAAACCAATATTTGATGATTACACGGCTCTTGGGGAACAACTGTAGTTTCCATATTCAAATTTTGATGTCAATCCCATTTTGGACTTTGACGTAGTGATTGAGCTAGAGCATGAGATTGTACCCACTGCTGAGATGAGAATACTTAGGTGGATGAGTGGCCTTACTCTTAGAGATATGATACGAAACGAGCATATCCGGGAAAAGGTTGGACCGTTGGAGTAGTTCCAATGACAGATAAGATTAGAGAGAGTCACCTTAGATGGTTTGGTCGTGTAAAACGTCGTCCTTCTGATGACCCTATTAGGAGAGTAGATGTATTAGATTTGACCTATGTTAAGAAAGGTAGAGATAGACCTGAAAAGACTTGGTTGGAAAATATTAGAAATGACCTTTCTTTATTATATTTAAATGAGAATTTGACTCTTAAAAGGTCACAATGGAGAAAAAAGATTCATGTAGCCGACTCCACATAGTGGGATAAAGGCTTGATGTTGTTTTTGTTCTTGTTGTTGTTGTAGAGATACATGATGTTGAGATTGATCTCATGGTGACTCAGTTATTGTTGTTGTTCACTAGCACGCTGAGATGGAGATATTCCACAACTTCTTGTACTCATGCCTTCTCCATCTGGTTGCTCATGTTGTCTTTTAACCACATTTTTTTGTTGCTATACCTTTATTTATTTCTATTTTATATTGCTCATCGGACACAATGGTGTGGTAACCGGCTATGTCTTGACCTCAGCCATTATTTCTTTCTACATTTGTACAAACTACTTTTGCAAGCACTTTAAGAGATTCCCATCTTCTACTTACCTTCGCCACCCACCATGATAGCAACAACCTTCTAACTCTTCTTTGAAGAGTTTCTTTTTTATTAGGTGAATGATACAAGGCCATCTCAACCATCGAGTCTTCTTACAAATCATTTCCATATTTCTAGTTTTTAAATATGTTTTAATTAAGTTTCATGTATTAAATGTGTAAACTGGATTCATTTTATAGTTCCTTACTAGTATTAAGTATTTTTTGTATGCATTGAGTGATCTCTTATATAAAAAAATTTCCCTAGGGTAAAATGCAACGGTCAAAGATCATTAAATCAAAGCATGGTGTTCAGAGCTCTCCTATTTGTGATGTTTTTTTCCTCTCCCTTTCTTGTTCTCTCCTAAGTTTATGTACAATTTCATTTTTTCTCTCCCCCTTTCATTGTCTGCCCTGAAGCTCATGAATATTATTTGATGATTTTGTTATTTTCCTTGCATCAGGATGTATAGTGTTTGAAATATTTGTCAATCTTATCGTTGCATATTTGAACCAGATGTTTTCTAGGGCAATTTTATTATTTATTTATTTATTTTCTCATATTCCTATCTTCACCACTACTATGCTTTTGTATGAATATCTTCACAATTTGCAAGTATGATTGTATTTTCATGTTCTCTTTTTGTATGCCACCACTTTATAATTATATGCTTGATCAATTTGTACAAAACACCATGTAAAATTTTGCTCTTTAACACTTGCGTACATGTATAATGTACGTGTTTTATTTTTTTTCTTGATAGTTATCAGTTGTTCCTGTTGTAATACCACAAGAGCATTTAGCAACAGTTCGTTCGTTCGCAAAAGATGCTGCTCCACCTGCATTGCCCCGCCTTAAAGGAGATGGTAAGTAGATCTATATGTTTAATTTGAAGTATTCATTAAAATTTATTTACTAAATCATGTAAAATTATAAATGAATATTGTTAAAGCTTTTATGAGCAATTACTGACATATAAAATTTGGCTATTTACAAACCTAACATCCTCTTATCCCGAGTCATCATGGTCCCACCCTTATTTATTTTTTTATTTTTTTGTCAAATCTCCCATGATTTGATCATGGCACACGCAAATGCATGGATTTTGTGTTCATTTTTTTGGATGTTTGATAATTATATAAATAGGTAGATTTTAGTGGCATATGCATAATCTCCTAGATTTTTTTAATAATTCTATGCATTGATCTTTATTCCTTTACTTGGTTTGACATGAAGCTAAACTTGCTAGTTTTTTAGATTACCTGCATCCAGAATATGAAGAAAGCTAATATTTCTATGAACTAGTAAGCACTACAATAGTGATATATTCTTATCCATGTGTTACAGTATTGGATAAGGAATAATTTTGTGTGGGCCTTCCAGCATGCCTCAATTTTATTTTTAAAAAAATTATTGACTACACCTTAGGCATAACTAACGCATGATTATAGGATAAAATTGAAATAACGTAGTCCACTTACATCATTATTGCCTAATTAATCTTTTATTTATTGGTTTTGCTTTTTTTCACGTTGATTCTCTAGTTACACACCATTTTAATTTCAGTATAAATTTATTTTGCATAACTCTAAGCTTTTTGCGTGATTCAATGATATATTTTGTATATTTCTTGAAATAACTAGTTCAATATTTTTTGACTATACTTATTATTACAATTTTTTTGTGCAAATTTATAGTTTTATATCCTTTATTTTGATGGTTTATTGTTAGCATATATGTTCATATATTTGCCCCGTTTATTAATGATGGTGGTAGGAGGCTTTATATGTAGAAGAATGGTTGGAGATGGCTATGGATTGCTCATTTATGATGTATAGGTGTGATTTGGAATTGATGATGTAAGGAGTGGTCTTTTGGGTGTTATGGATGTGGGAAACTAGCTTAATTGGACCTAAACTAAGTTGATTTACTTTAACTATTTTAGGAATGGATTTAAGGGTGGCTAAATGATGGGAATTGTTGTGGAGGGATAGTTTAGGATATATAGTTGTGATTTGGAGCTTTTGGTGGAGTTTGAAAAGATTTAAGAGCTTGTGAGAGAAGGGAACAAAGCTAGGCAAGGGTGAACTTAGTCTTGGTCGAGAGCTTTATGGAGGATTTTAGAATTATTTTGATGCCTTTGGTTGATGATGGATGATCTTAGGAGATGGGTAAGATTAAGGGGAATATATTGGAGATGCTGGAAGAGAGATTACGTGGAGAATCAACAATAACTTAGAGATAACTAACATTTCCCACAAAGAAAGGTCATTGGCGGACCTCCAAGCTCTAACAAATAAGAGAATAGTTTATTCTAATATGTAATATCATTCAAATTGATTACCACAAAAAAGAGGGTTTTGTCTTCCATCTATCTAAAAATATGTGGTATCTAGATAGGTCATTAGAGACTTCTTATGTAATAATGGGACTCTCTACTTCCATGAATGTGAGTTATGAGAGTTTGCAAGTAGAGGGTATTGTCTCATATCAAAATGCTAGACTGAATCTTTGAAGGTTTGTTAACCCCATTATTATATAGTAAGATGCCATCATTATTAAAAAATCAGATTGATAAGCATATTAGTAGACAAGTAAATGCGGTATGCATTGATTCTAATTTTCCTAATAATTTTGAATAGTTCACAAGATCTAGCATTTTATTTCTTGAATTTAGTGGATTGGCATCTTTTAGGTCTAATGCAAGTCGATATAGTCACCTTCTTTATATGCCTTTGTAGAATAATTATAGTCTATTATGTTAGCATTTTTTTTGTTATTAGCTTTTTATTTCATTGTGAAGGCTTTGAACGCCATTAGCCAAAAAAAAAAAAGGAGTATGTATGAGATAGAAAATTTAGGGGTTGTGAACCAGACACTAAATCTATTACATGCTTATGAGTAATATCAATAGAATATAGTAAAAGGGATGAAACTTTGCAGTTTTCTTAGAATTGGGCTTTGGTCAAAGATCAGACGTGTGCTTATGGGGTGCAATGGATGGTGCTTTCTCTTTTGGATTTGTTGGCATGAGTTTTATGGTCTTATGCATAGTTGTAATGGGTAGGGTATAAATTCTATTATTTTGCAGGCTAGCTATAAGGGCTTGTATCTTATCTTTTAATTATTGTATTCGAGCTTTACTTTCTTTTTATTTTTTTTTGAGTTTTCTTATATATGTTATTAGTCCTATTTTTTAGTGCTTCTACCATCCTATTTAAGTTTACAACTTGGTTCATGGAAATTGACTTGGGTGCCATTCAGTTGTGAATATGACGGGTGAATCTTTGATTAGAGGGAAAGGGTCTTAAGTCGAGAAAAAAAAAATCAAAGTAAGAGAGGGGTATTAAATCTCTTACATTCCAAGCTCTCAAGTAGTTTAGGTCTTCTTTGACAAAATACTAGTTAAACTCAAAATACAAAATTTCGCACATTTATATCTTTATCGATGCAATTTTGAATGCAAATAAAAAATCTTAAAGTCTTTTTTTATAGTTGTTCTTAAAAGAACAAGTCAACACAAGTTTTTTAAAACAAAATACTAAATTTAACCATAAGCATTACCAAAAAAAGCATGTAAAATTGATTTTGCACTCAAGGTGAGTCTTTTTTTGAGTTAACGCATAGGGATATATGCTAGGTTTTTTGTTGGAGTTAATTAATAGGAAAATTTTACATTCATTCTAGGCTTGCAAGCAACATACCTAATGGATTAGCTTTTAATATGAATTTATACTATGAGAAGAAAGGAATTAAATCATATCAAAAGTTAAGGAGTAACTCGCATATAAAAACAAATCACCTACAAGCAAAGATCCTCTTGTTGAAAACAAAAAAGTTTTTACCAGAATTGCTTCTTTAAGATCCTTATCGTAGGCTTTACTTTGATATCAAAGTCAATGGTGTTGGGAGGATTTATAGGTGGAGTAATTGCTGAAGATTTCCATGGATTATTGGCTTATGATGTGGAGTTGTGATTTGGAGTTAAATGGTGGAACATAATGCTCTCTTGGGTGAAATGGAGGTGGGAAAATTAAGATTAGCTCAATTAGACCTAGTTTTCACTAATTTAGTTTTAGTTCATTTGGAATGGGTTTAAGGGTGGCTAAATGATGGGAAATAGTTGTGCAAAGCTAACTTAGAATATGTTGTTGTGATATTGAGTTTTTGGTGGAGTTTTAAGAGGTTCAATAATTTGTGAGAGGAATTGGAATAAGACTAGGTAAGGGTGAACTTATTCTAGGTGAGAGGTTCAATGAGGGTTCTAAAATTATTTTGATGGCTTGAGTTAATAAAGACTTATCTTAGGAGATGGCAAAGATATAGGAGAAGATGTTTGAGAGATTTGGAAGGGAGGTTGAGGAGAATTTGTTAGCACCGAGAGATAACTATTCTTTCCCACCAAAGAAGGTAATGGTATGCCACCAAGATCCAACCAACAAGAAAATACTTTTCTCAAAATTTCTCAAAATTCTTATCCCATTCAAATTGAAAGTTTTGTTATAAGTTCAAACTATATGCATTAATTCACACACCATTCTAAAAATCCATTAAGTCGCTGGTTAAAACTTTATGCAACAACAACAACATCAAGCCTTTGTCCCACTATATGGGTTCGGCTATATGAATAATTTTTTATATTGTGTCTTATTAAGAGTTAAATACTCATTTAAATCTAATAAAGAAAAATCATTTCTAATATTTTCTAATTAAGTATTTTTAGGTCAGCCTTTACCTTTTTTAATATAATTCAAGTTTAATGTCTCTACTCTTCTAATCGGGTAATCAATCGATGTTTTATATGACCAAACCATCTAAGGTGACTCTCTCTAATCTTACCTACCATTGGAGCTACTCCAACCTTTTCATGTATATGCTAGTTTCGTATTCTGTTTGTAAAGAGTAAAACCACTCATCCAACCAAGCATCTTCATCTCTGCAACACTTAACTTTATTGTATGCTTCTCTTTTAATGACCAAAATTCTGCGTCATAAAGCATTGCAGGTCTCACCATCATCTTATAGAATTTTCCCTTAAGTTTGAAGGGTACTTTTCTATCACACAACACGCTTGATGCATTCCTCCACTTCAACCATCCAACTTGAATTCTAATAATAATATCGCCATCTATTTCACAATCACTCTAAACAATAGACCCGAGATAAAATAAAAATGATAAAATGATAAAATACAAAATCTGAACTTGGAAATTTAAATATGAAAATTTCTTCATGTTTGTTCTCTTATAATTTGGCTTCCTCTAGCTTGAGCATTTTGGTGTGCTTGGGCTTTTGCTTGGATTCTTATAGTAAGCCTTCTCTTATTCATGTTCTACATTAGTTTATGTACAATACAATTTTGAAGCTTTTTTATTTCTTTGCTCTTTTATTACATATGCAACCACTCTTAAAGTGCATTTATGTATGTCATTCAAAATATGAATTTATGTACCAAACCATTCATGAAGAAATTGTAAGAGGCTACTTTACTACACAGAGCTTAAAAAAGGCTTGTGGGAGAAGCTTTTATATTGTTCATAGATACAAAAATGTTTATCACAAATTTAGTGGGGGTGAGGCGGCCACTTATAGCCATCCCCATTTCAACCATAGATGCTAGATGATTCTAGAAGAAGCGATATTCATATTTAAGAATAGTAGAGGGTTTAGGATTTTGATAAATTTAGAGAAATCAAATTTATGAGTCATAAAATAAAATTATGGGAGAGAATTATGAAAGATAAACTCAAAAAATTATTTCGATATTAGATGATCAATTTTGTTTTATGCCAAGAAGATATATTATGAAATAAATCATTGTGCCAAGACAATGATTGATAGTTATAGAGCATGGAGAAAAGTATTT